GGGGGTGCCCTGCTGTGGCGGTAAGGGGATGAAGGTGGAAAGAAGTAGGCAGAACCATAATGTCGCAACCGGTGCGGGAAGCTGGGAGGCAGCACCAGGATGTTTAAATGAAACTGTCGGACCGGGTGGTGGTATCTGTACCGAATACCTATGGCGACGATAGACACGGTAGGGGCGGCGGAGACCTAGAGAGGTGTCGCAACAAACGAGTTTGGTTGAGCGGCAGCGACACTCACCACTACTGAGAGAGAGTGTTGGTCTTGAGCCGACGGAGAGGAAGAACCACCACGTCCGTGTCGCTGGAGTCGTGGAGAACCGGCTGGTGAGCTGGTGGGAGATGGAGTATGAGAATGGAAAGGGGTGTGATGGGAAGAACCCTTAAGGCAGTGAACATCAAGGGTAAGCACATTGATTTGCTCTTGCAGCGGTCCAAGCGTACTGAGTTGCGCTTGGATGGCCACAAGGACGGTGTGCATGTTCATGGTGTGCGCTTGGGCCTGACCCTGAGCCGCCAACTGAACGCAGACCTTGAAGGTAGACGGCGTTGTGGCGATCTCCTCAAATGTACTCTCGTCCATGTGTGGTGGATGGATGGGAGTAAACAAGGCGGGATGTGGAGAAGGAGGTGGGGAAAGATATGGGCTGGTGTGTGGAGAAAGAGGCCCACCAGTGAGAGCGAGGGGACCGCAGGAGCGGAGTGGGTAGTCGTGAGTCGGTGCGCTCCGTGACCAGCGGGTCGTGCGTGAGAGGGTGGCGCGAAGCCGGTCGAGGGGAGACGATTCGTTCGGGTCCAGGGTACCCAACGGGAGGAGGCAGGAGAGAAGGGGGGTCAGAAGAACCCTAAATCATAAAAAAAAACTAAGAAAACCCTTACCGGAGTTTAGGGGTTAGGGTAGACTACCAACGACCTAATCAAGAAAAAAAAAAAAAAAACATGGAGTGGAGGGGAAAGAAAAATAAATAAATAGTTAAATTTTGAGATAAAAATAAAATATATAAATAAATAAATAAATAAAATATAAAGATTGAGGAGAGAGATAGTATTTATTTTTTTTGAATTTTTGACAGTTTTCTCCACACTACATGAAAGAAAGAAAAGAGCAAGAGGAACACATTAACTTTCAAATTACGGCAAATAAAAAATTTCATTAAAAAAATAATAATAAATAGATAAATAAATGAGAATAAGGAGGAGAGTGAAAAAAAACTAAGTTTTAGATTTTTTTTAAATTTTGGCTGCATTTCGTTACCCGCATGGGGTTAAAGTGTGTCGTCAAAAAAATGACTAAGTAAAATGGAAAACTTTTGTAAGCACTTCGTCACTCCCAAGGGGTCAAAAAGTGTTGAAAAAAGAGAGTAGGGAGAAAAGAAAAAATTTCGGCAGCACTTCGTTACCCCTAAATGGTCAAAATTTGTACCGATAACTGAAATAACTAAATCCTAACAAGATATCATGATAGAGGTACCACAGAAAAAAAGAAAAAAATAATAAAAATAATAATATATATATATATATATTTTAAGTAGGGAATAAGATGATTTGAACTTTTGGAGGAAAAAAAAAAAAAAAAATCAAAGAAAAAAAACAAGGAAGAAAACCAGAAAAAATTGAAGGGGGGGGGGGCTGATGAAAAAGTAATGAAGAAAGAGAGAAATAGATGAAAAAGAAAAAATGAGTGAAGTGGGAGATAGGGGAGATGATGGGGTTGTAGTGGGGGGAGGGAGGGGGAGAGGAGGGTGGTAGAATGGGAGAGAGATATGAAAAAGGTGAAGAGGAGTAAAAGAGATTAACAGAAGATGGTGAGTGGGAAGGAGAGGAAATAAAAAATTGGTGGAAGAGGAGTGAAGAGGGAGGTAGGAGAAGAAAGTAGTGGTAGAGTCAGAAAAAATGATGAGATGGTGTAGGGGAGAGAGAGAGAGGGGTAGTGGAAGAGTATGTTAGTGAAAGAGAGGTGATACCAAACTCTTGGTTAGCTTTTTTTTTTTTTTTTTTTTTTTTTTTTTTTTTTTTTTTATTCACGGGATTTTGGCCTTCAAGGTGTTGGTAGCCTGCTGCTGCAACAGAAAAATATGAAAAAAAATTATACAGGGTTAGTTGAGATCTTGATCAGCCACCCTGATTGCACTGTCGCACAACCCCCTAGCCAGAGGGGGTCTTCATTGCCGCGCAAACTGTCGTTGCAGCAGTAGAAAAAATAATAATCACCATAATCATCATCATCATCACCATCATCATCATCATCTGGGTGTGCTGAGATCTTGATCAGCCACCCAGATCTCACAGTCGAGCAGCCCCCTAGCTAGGGGGGTCTTCGAGATCTTCATCAAGCTACCACGTGACACTGCAGATAACCACGTGTGCAGGCAGCGACAGGCACGACGCTGGGGGTGGGGGGCAAATAACAACCCACCCGCTGCTGTCGTGTTGGCCACCGCTCGTCGCTCGTCGACACCGAGGGTGGTAAATAGTTGGTGTGGCACTGGTGGTAAATAGTTGGTGTGGCACTGGTGGTAAATAGCTGGCGTGACACTCTTTAACTCTACATGCCGCACTACAAAGATGAACATAATTTGGTCAGTGTGTTAACGCACTGCCTACGCACTCACATGGTTGGTCCATGCCCAAATTCAAATCCTGACAACAACATGCATCCCAGGTCTTGATATTTCTAATCCGGGAGCGGGGCAAGGCGGGGCAGTGAGCGTGGGCGCACGACACATTACTTTTTCCACCACGTGTCACCCCGAGGTCACTGCACCCTTTCTTTACTTTGTGGTGGAAAAGACCCCAAAATCCCACTCTCGGGATTGCAAGCACGACTCCCTTCCGTGGGGGGCCCGAAACGGCAGCGCAGAGCCGCCCCTCCGTGGGGGGTGGGGGGGTGGGGGCAAAATGACAGCGCCAACCCGCCCGACAGTGGAGGAGGGGGGGTGCGGGGGCAAAACGGCAATGCCAACCCGACTATCAGTAGGGGGGGGGAGGGCAAAAAGTAAGGGGGCGGAGGTCGGCGGGGATGGTTCCCGCTCTGATACCTGTGTGGCGGACCGCCGTGATGGCGGTCCGTCAGGACAAAGACGAAGGGGTGAAGGGGGGGGAGGTCGGTGGGTATGGTTCCTGCTCCGATACCAGTGTGGCGGACCGCCGGGATGGCGGTCCATCAGGACGAAGGGGTGAGGATGACGGAGATGGAGATGGAGCTGGAAGGGACAGCGCAACTCCGACTCAGACTCAACACGCATGTACTCCAAAATGTGCAGATGAAGAATGAGGCACAAAACAGACTGTGGCGGGGGKATACCCCCAGCGGACTGACTGGACTGGACTGGACTGATACAGCACACGGCCTGTGGGATCAGGCCACGGCCTGGTCCCACAGGTCGAACAGGCAAAATAGCCGAGTAGGCGCTGGCTGTACGCCAGGGCAGATAGAGGCCCACTGCACAGTTGGTGCACTAATGTAACTGTTGAAATACAGACCTGAGTTCAAATCCTGTGTGACCTTATGTATGAGATAACCGAGGCCCGGTTCTATCAATGAACATATCCCAAGGCCGGTACCCCTTGGGAAAAAAAACAGGGAAAAAAGGGCATTCCTGGGACTGAGATGGACTGGTCAACTTATTCATATACCCTGCTTCCAGATGGATGAAATTATGCTCATAGCCCGCAGCCATTGGGCCACAATCGTCCTCTTGGTGTGCATGAGCATAATTTTGTTGTTGGCCATTGAAGGCCCACTGGGTGTGGGCACACCCACAATTTTGCCAGCCCGGTTTCTGGGCATGAGCATAATTTTGTGGTGCGGATCCGAGAGCCTGCAGGAGTGGGTATGCCTACAATTTTGCACAGAGGAAAAGTGGGTACTATGCAAAGGGGTCCGAGTATGGGACTGGGTACAGATGTAATTTTTCTTACTTGTTTTGTAGTGGAATGGAGCCGTGCCCCAGGTGCCAAACAAGAGATTCTTTTTTTTGTTGCCAGTGTTGGGAAAATAGGGAAAAGTGGACGTTTTCCCAAACCCCTAAAATGTCGGAGGCCGGGCCCGACGACGGCTGCACTTGATAAATCTGATCGGCGGCGGTCGTTTCGTTTCCACCTCCGAAAAGGTCGGAGGCCCACCCGAGGCCCGCTATTTTCCCACGCGGCAAAGGTACTAGTGGTTGTAGAGGTGGGATACTAGACGGATGGCAGTCACCCGCAGTACTCGGCCACTCAGTTGTCCAGATGAACCCCTCTGAAGACCCCACCCACCCTTCCTCTTATCTTTTTACCCTGGTGCACCCCCACCCAAGACCATCACCATTGCCATCTTGGTGGGGTGGCCTGACAAACCAGCGGTTGCAGGTACCGGGGCTAAGCGGAGATGCCTACCCCCTGCTCAGCCCTGGTTGAAGCAGACACCATGCAAGCCTGACTGCACGGGGACTTCCGGAGCTAGGTTTGAACATGCTACTACCTGCTCAGCCCTGGTTGAAGCAGACACCATGCAAGCCTGATTGCACGGGGACTTCGGGAGCTAGGTTTGAACATGCTACTACAGGTCTTCATGAGGGTGCACGGTGACTCCCATCTAGCTTAGTTGTGTGGTGATGATAGAGAGCTGGGTATCCTCCGTTCCCTCGTATGTCCCTGGAGCCCGTTCCGGCCATGACACCCCCGACATCCCGCACTAAGGAACTGCTATGCCAGCCTCAACCCTATGCTACGTAGGTAGGAGGATAGCCAACCCTGTCAGTGGAGCCAGCGGTCGTCAGCTGCGGTGCCAGCGGAAGTCGAATTGCCCAGCGTCCTCGGCGGGCTATTAGCACGACCAGTACCTTGGAGGGTCGGAGCTTGACACTGGAAGGTTCGGCACCGGTGCCTCTAAGCGGGTCTCGCTGTGAAAGTTGGGAAGGTTAGCCCTGGGACTATTCGCCAGGATTTTTTTTGCCTTGGTAGCCCTGGGACTTTCCAACGTACCGATATCCGGACGGGTATGGTATGATACCGATATCCGGACGGGTATGATGGTATGATGTGACTTGTGATTTGTGGGATTGCGGAAGGACGTCCGGTTTCCTGTCGAGGGGAAGCAGAAGCGAGCCCCCCCCACAACACGCTTCTTCATTGCTCGATCGGCTTCAAAGCTTTGGAGCATCGGTCGACCTGTTCGAAGCTGGTGTAAGGTAATTAGCCTCATCACTTTACCGCATCGCTCGTGCAGATCGTTTCCCAAGTCGCACTTCACAGACTGTTTCTGAGTGCTGCGCGCGCCGCCCTTTTTTCGGACATTGTCAGCCGGGCTGTTGTGTCCCTGTCTGGTTTATGCTTCTGTCTGCCATGGGCGCCATGTCAGGAACAGGTCACCCTACCTGCCTTGGCAGTCCTCCGTTGTCGATGCGCGCATCATGTGGTGGCACTTTTATGGCACACTCTTATCAGCATCATCACAATGAGGGCATACTCACACTACGGGTAGCACTTTCCAGAATGCATAGGACTGCAATTACAGCCGAACCAGGATGCACCTGACTGCGATTACAGTCGAACCAGGATGCACCTGACTGCAATCACGTCCAGAGCTTTGTGTGAAAAAGTCCTCGTGTGATTATGTCCTGGGCGTTAATCAGTATTACAAGAAAGTTATTTGTTCTCTTGTTTTCGTTTCGTCGAGATTATGTTTCGGAAGGACAGACTCTACTTCGTAGTCGTGCTGGCAATCCTGTTAAAGATTTGGACCATCAGGACCATTTCTCAATTTATTATGCGTGCCATCATAGCTTAGGGCCCATTCTAATCTTCTATGTATCAAAAAAATAAAATAAAAAAATGATATAAAAAAAATTCTATGTATCGTTCCAATTGTCATGGATGTCTCGAAGGAGTATTATCTTTCTTTCACCATCATACGGGAAAAACATAATTTTGGTCGTCGTCGGCATCATAGTCATGTTCTTCTTGGTGCTGCTTATTTGTCCTGTCCTCCTCCTTGTCCTTCTTCGTCGCGTTATACTCGTCGCAGTCCTAGCACACGGTGGGATGATGGCGATAACGGATGGGGGTGATGAGTGCTCGGCCGCCATGTTGCATGATCCACCACGAAAACGTGCCACGTGGAAGCATGGTGGCGCCGAAATGTGTGTGGTGGACGTAGCGAGGTGCCTCGAAAGGAGGAGGCGAGAAAAGGAGGAGAGAGGACGAAGATGAGGATGGTTTTGCTGCCGCTGATGATGGTGATGGTGTGATAACGAGGAGGTAGTACTCGAGTATCCGGTGCAATAAGAAGAACGCTGTCAAATCTGGCGGGCCAGACACGCCGAAAGCATTTTTTTCAGCTTGGTGGTTATCGACCCCGCCTGTGGAAAAGAGGACGGGAGGAAGGAGGCGGCGAAGCACAGGCGGAGGAGATGAATGTCCACTTTTTTTTTATTCTGTACAGAAATGTCTTGAAACCAGGAGGAGTGATGTGCTGACTTGTTCCTGTCCGAAAACACTTTCCCCTAAACAAAGTAGGCATAAGAAATGGATCGAGAGCCCGGGAAGGATCCGATTAAACAAGAGACTGAGCATGAGCAGCAGTAGGACATGAGGAGGAAGAGGACGAGGAGTAGCCAGAAGAAGGAGAAGAGGAAGACGAAGAAGCAGAAGCAGAAGGAGAAGAAAATAGAAGAAGAAAGAAGAAGAAGAAGAAGAAGAAGAAGAAGAAGAAAAAGAAGAAGAAGAAGAAGAGCGACAAGATGCAAAAGGAAGATAAGAAGAAGAAGAAGAAAAAGAAGAAGAAGAAGACGAAGAAGAGCGACAAGATGCAAAAGGAAGATACGCAAAGGGATAGATGATGGGCACCAATAGCCAGGAAACGACGACGACGGCGATGATGATGATGATGATGATGATGATGATGATGATGATCATCGTCATCATGACGATGGTGATTTTAGGACTCTGTTTACATTACGCCGCGTGATCGGGTTAAGTGACAGCACGGCGGGGGGCGAATCGTCGACAGCGGAGGGTACGTGGCGCGCAGCATAATAGGTTGAAAAAAGTAGGGGAGGAGTTGGTGGGAGGAAGAGGGAAAGAAAGAAGAGAATGATGATGATGATGATGATGATCACGACCATGGGGAACTGACCATGGCTGACTTGTCGATGGCCTTGTCAGGCGCCTTCCCAACTGCTGGCGCTCTCTCCCTCTCTCTCTTTCTCGCTCTCTCTGACTCCCTTCCTCTCTCTCTCTCTGTCTCCTTCTCTCTCTCTCGGTCCTCGCTCCCGCCTCCTACCCGGCGCACACACACACACACACACGCACACACACACACACACACACGCACACACACACACATATGCACACTCGTTTTACGGACTCTCGCACGTAGTCACAGCATTCCACGTGCCACCGAGAGAGGCTGTAAGAGGCTTTCATGGCCGTGACCATATGTGACGGATGTGGGCAGCCCGTCTTCCCTCTTGCGGCTCCTCTGGAGGCAGATGTTTTGCCTGCGGGCCACTACAGTCCTACTCCTTGCGCGGGCTTTAAAACCCCAGTCACCATATTAGGGGAACATTCGAAGTAAGAGGACGGCCGATTTAAATATCTCAACTTTCTTTTTTTTGTGTGTGGTAAGAGAATGGCCGATTTCATTGTTTGAAGTTTCCTTTATTTGTGTGTGGAGGCTTTAGCGCAGCTGAAAGCTCTTCATACTGTTCTTCTGGCAGTCGATGGAAATTTTAGGGAAATCGACCAGGACCCACTTTTTTGTAGTCCCCCCCCTCCCAGGGTTGAGGACACGAATAGCCCACGTTCATTGGCAAGGAGATGAAGATAGGCCGGTCAGAATTCACCAGAGCGTCTACACAACTAAGTGCAGGTCATGCACCTAGAGATCTTCACAGCCAGGTGCATTCTGACGGGGATAGTTTTTGCATTTCTAAACGTGCGCGGGCCGATTATGCCCTTTTCCCTTTCTTTATGCAACCACGTCTTCCACTGCTTGTGAAGACCCTGGCCCCTTCCTTCGAGTTCCAGCCATCTCGAATGAATAAATAACATTTCGTGGTGATGTAGTAAACCTTTCTTCATTTCGTGGTGCTGTAGTAAACCTTTCTTCATTAATTTAACATTTTGTGGTGCTGTAGTAAACCTTTCTTCATTAATTTACTTTCCAGGAATGGCTGGTAACGAGTGATATTGGGGGTTAACTTGTTTGCGTTCTCATGCCGATCGGACCTCAGCTGTCTGCACTCAACTCGAACTGGCCACAGCAAGAACTACGACATTCGTTAAGTCCGGATGGCTCTTAGGGTTAGCAATCTCATTATTTCGGCGGTGCCCCACGACATTCGTTTCTTGTTCAGCTACTAAAATTTCAATGGTTATTCTTTTTCTCGTCCGTTTGTTCGTTTGTGTGTGTGTGTGTGTGTGTGTGTGTGTGTGTGTGTGTGTGTTTTGTCCGTGTGTTTATTGTGTGTGCGTTTTTTGTGTGTTTTGTGTGTGTTTTGTGTGTGTGTGTGTGTGTGTGTGTGTGTTGTCCGTGTGTTTATTGTGTGTGAGTTTTGTGTGTGTTTTGTGTGTGTTTTGTGTGTGTGTGTGTGTGTGTGTGTGTGTGTGTGTGTGTGTGTGTGTGTGACCTCCCACTAATGCCTAAGGTTTACGATGAGTGCGAGGGCAGGGTCGATTGGAAAGCGGGACTGCTGATGGTGCCTTTTAGGGCATGGGAGAAACACCGTTTGACAATTTATGGAAATCCATAGAGCAACATTAGCGGGGGGAAAAAAACTCAGAGGCATGCACAAAGGAGTACGGTCATGCCGTTTGGGACTCCGTGACAATTGGAACAATACGGAGAAGAAGAGTTAGCATCGTCCCTGCACAAGGATGACGATAAAAAGGGGGGGGAAAAAGGAAAAAAGGAAAGAGAAAAAGAAACGAAGCAAGATCATGACAACCGTTTACATTGTCACACAAACAACTATTGACCGAGAGCGAATATGTCACAGCAAAGCAGAACAATTTGCTCGGCTGCATATGTATCCTTGAATGGACTGTCGGTTCGCCTACAAAGTTCATACTGGATTTCCAGCATTACTCACTGAAAACCACGAATTTCAAGATTAGAGAAGCACCTTCAGTTTGTGAAAGTCCCGTCTATCACAGTCATAGTTTGTGAAAGTCCCGTCTATCACAGTCATACCTTTCTGTGAAGTTTGTGTTTACTGAACATGACAACACAGATCCTCACACACATCGAGGTCCTTAGGCAGGCAGCTGCAACTTGGGCCGACCTTGCCAAGTCATTTGCCGGATGGCCGGATGGGCAGTTAGGCAGATGCATATATGACGATGGCCTGGACCACCTGGGTCACCTTCTAGCTCTTACTTCGTGGACGACTCATGGGTCCCTTGGGATAATGCAAGAAGGGGCTGCACGGTGCATAACCTGGAACCCAGCCCTGGTCTGTCTTCCTGGCTGGCCAAGAACAGCATGCGTTCAGTACAAGTCCACCTTTAGGTGAAGACCAGTATGGCCGGTCAACCCCCAACCATGTCTACGAGACACACTTGGACGGGTTCGTGAATTTTAGGTGTGGGTAGGATAGGATTAGGAAGTAGACGCATTCGGTCAGCAAAGAGACAGGGTTTTCCTATGTATTGCGTTGACATGATTATAAATTTATAACATCTGCTGATGTACTTCACAGTTGGGCAGTACGTTCCTCCCAGTAGAGGTCCACCTTTTGGTGAAGAACAGTATGCCCCAGTGTAGGTCCACCTTTGGGTGGTGTGGGTAGGATGAGGAACTAGACACGTTCGGTCAGGAAAGAGACAGCGTTTTCCTATGTATTGCATTGACATGATTATAACATCTGCTGTTGTACTTCACAGTTGGGCAGTACCTTCCTCCCAGTAGAGGTCCACCTTTTGGTGAAGAACAATATGCCCCAGTGTAGGTCCACCTTTGGGTGGTGTGGGTAGGACGAGGAACTAGACACGTTCGGTCAGGAAAGAGAGCGTTTTCCTATGTATTGCGTTGACATGATTATAACATCTGCTCTTGTACTTCACAGTTGGGCAGTACCTTCCTTCCAGTAGAGGTCCACCTTTTGGTGAAGAACAGTATGCCCGGTGTAGGTCCACCTTTGGGTGGCGGGGAGGGTTTGGCCCTCCCCTCATGGCAACTTGGTTAATA